TCGTTTGCAGATAGGGATGTTGAGGATAGTAATATCATGCTACCGATATCTGCAAGAGAAGCAATTCTTAAAAATGCAAAGCAGCTCAAGTCGAGAAACACCTCTTGGCAGTGGTGATGCGGATGTGACATCTCTGAACGGCGGTGTTCCTGCTGACAAAAACGGTGATCCGTTAGCAGCGATTCACGGGAACGATCTACATTCTGTTGCAATCTCTAACATCGATATTCGTGAATTTACGAATCCGGCTGAAACTGACTGCTAGGAGATATGCAAACGAACTGAATGATGCGATCGTGAGGTAGTGTGACGATCAGTGCTGAAAATATAAGTTGGAATATAAATTTTCCAATCAGATCAAAGACCATGAAGGTACGATGAGAACATCCAGAAATCTGAAGTATGCAGAATGTCAACCGGCGAGGGCAGTATATCTAGAAACCTCGATGGATTGATCAGATCTCCGAACAATAACGATGATCATATAATTGCTGAAAATTAGAGAATAAAGCATCAGTAAACTACAAAATTCCCTTGCTTTCGGTTCTCTTACTGTCAATCTTCGTTCATTAGCTCATAAGCATACGTTTTAGTTATCGAATTAAAACTAAAATTGAGAGATCAACCATTGAATAGACAATAAAATTCTAGCGGGAGTGCCAAATTCATAGTTTTCTCCCTGTTCGCCAAGTCATGATCAGTTCTCCGTAAATTAATTTCTTTCTTTACCTGTACATATTTAGTTATCCTCTTGTCGTTGTTCTTTGAAATTTCTTCTGCTCATTGTATCTTGCCATTACTGCTATTCTAGCAATGATGCATTTTGTTTTCGAGATGAACGAAGATTATATTGTTATTACTATTCTTGATGTCATCGTCCAGAAATTATATTATTATGATTGAATCGAATAAAAAATTCTACTGTATTTGTGATCATTTCTTAACGAAACGGCATTGGCCATTTCCATGAACAGTCAGCTAAATGAGATCGTCGGAACCGATACGATGGTCACATCTTGACAAATTACCACACAAGCTTAAGTTATACACAGCAACAGAATTCGCAATTTTTACCCAATAATCTCACAAAACAAAGAAAACGAACAGATTCAACAGAGTGCTAACTGTTTCGAAATGGATTCTTGATTAAGAATAGGCGATTATTGAAAACACCCACGCCCAATATAACATTCCTCATATCGCCTTGTTTCAAGAACATTTGCCGATTTTTTCTTTCATTATTGATCATAAAGCTTTGTGTAAAGAGCTTCATTCATGTATCTCTTAATAATTGCTCATATAAAGTGGGTTAAGTTCTATTAAAAGATTTCTCAACACAGTTTCTCAATAAATCATATCCAGATCAGACTATACCTTCCCATCCCCACAACCCTCGCCACTTCAAAGCATTTCTTATTTAACATTAGCTATTCGCACCATTTTATTAAACTTGTCCAATTCTATTTTTAACCTCTAATCCAGTGGTTCTCATAGGGGTAGTTACCCTCGGGGTTGATTTGGAGGTGTCGTAGGATAATTGAGGAGATCAGCAAACCAATATTTCGAGAATTTATCATGTAGTCTTTAATAAATAAGAAACCTTTTGAAGAAGTCATATGACCGAAGTGACTGAAATTATCTGCGAGTCAGCGGCTCTGATAAGGAGTTAATGGTGTATTGGGTGGGTTGATTTTGTTTGAGGCTCACAGTACCTCTCTGCTATATAACTTAGTGCGATTGTTTCTGTTTAGTTAATATTGGTGAAAAACAACAAAAATAATGTCATCACAATGTTATAACATTATATCGCGCATATTGTTGAATGTGCTTATGAAGGGGCCCATAAAAAGTTGACTCATTCAAACATCATTTCAGTGAAATTATGTTATGAGATCAAAAGTTCTTGATTTAAGCCTTAATCAATTCTTGCACCTTCCAGTAACTCTAGAAAAACATAACGACACCTCATTATATGATGATACAATGAAACAGGACACAAAACTGAACATTTGTTAATGATTCATCAAAAAAGTTACCTTAATAGATGTGCAAACTTGTAGATGCAAGTATAAATGCACTCGCTGCGGACATTCACTCATCACATCGTTCTCATCAGCACGATCAGAATGTTTTCCGCAGCAAACTCTTCTGCCACCTTCGTCCTCCTGCTCGTTACACTTCTAGCTTGTAAGTCTTCAATTCTAATCCCTTCTAAATTTTTATTTTCTGCATCAGTTCAAAATTCATCGTCGGCTTATGTTTAGTACAACACAATACCATATTTATAATTTTCATGATTATAATTGGAATAATACCGCATCAAATGTCACCTATTTAGTTTTCAAAGTTTGTTACACCATACCAGTTAATGGGCTCTAGGATGTACAATCCACAACGGTCTTTCTGCATTCCTTTGTTCAATATTAGCCGCCATCTACAACAATGTGAGACGATATAAGTTTTTGCCGACAGTAGAATGTTCAATATTCTATTTGGTTAAAGCAACTTTTAAGGCAGTGAATCGATCAGTGCAGCCGGCGGTTGGGGTGGTTCATCAGGAGCTGGTTGGAGCAGTTCTCCGGATGGAAGTTTCGGCGGATCATCAGCAAGTGGCTGGGGAGCGAAAGTCGCGAAGCATGGATCAAATAAGCCT